CCTACACTGTGTATGGCTATATGGGGTGCATGGGGGGATTGGGAAAAAAACATCGTGTCAGAGGCATGAGAATGTAGGAGAATGGGCCCCATTTATGTTAACAGCAGTGAGTTCACATGCTGGATGATAAAGTTACATAAACATGTTAATGTATAGCTATGTAAATGGGTAAACGGAAGGCAGTAAATACTAAACCAGAGAATTTGTTTCTAATCCAGCAGACAAAAGACAATCATTACTATGGGGTCCAGAGAGATAATGCAATGAGCAAGGCACATTCCTTGCAGGCAGCTGACCCCAGTTCAATCCCCCCCACCAAATACTGTCCCTTCAAGCCCCCGTCAGGAGTGATCCCTGAACACAGAATCAGGAACAAGCCCTGAGCATTTCCGGGTAGTAGTGCAAACACCCTATCCTTAACCTCTAAAAAAGAAAATAAAATATTGTCACGTCTTAGGCAAGACTCAGAGGTGACAGATATGGAACTGGCCACAGAGGCAAACCATACTGGTGGGATCTAGCTCTTTTTATTCTCTGGCTAACAGAGTACACAGAAGGAAGAATGCCCGTTTTAGGAAATGTGTCTTTCAGTTGAGTGATGCAATAAGGGAGAAATACACCAAATAAGTTGGTTTGTTCTGCACAACAGTTGCTTGATAAGGAGCTTAACAGAATGGAATGTAGGGGGAGGAGGTTGGATGCCCGAGCTTCCTGGGAAGGATGGCAGGTCCCTGAAGGGATGGAACAGCACAGCAACCACCAGGGTGGCTCAGAGGTTACAGAAGGAACTAATTACATGCAGTCTGGTGAGTTTCAATTATGTGTCCTCAACCCTCCCTTCCTCCTTCCTCCCCATTTCAGCTGGATGAGCTACCTGCCTCATCTTTCCCAGTGGCATTTCTTACTAAAATCACTGTGTTAAGTGCCTGCAGAGAGACGTTGCTGATACAAATGCAGGTATATGCTGAGGGAGCTTCATAAAAGCCATAGCCATTGTGGAAAGGCCCGCTGAATATTGCTTCATCCCCTGAGGAACCAGAAAATGGGACAAACCAAGAAATCAGTGCCCTAGCCAGGAGGGTCTAAAATAATCGGCAATTAAAATTGCAGTGAAGAGGAAAAAATGTCAACCAGGTTATTTTCTTCAATGTCTATTAAATTCTTCAATGTTGTTTAAACCCCACAAAGGATCCCTGAGACAGGGCAAAGCAAAGTTGGTTCGCAAGAAGTGAGAGGTCCCAGATGCGAGAGTAGAAGAAGGCTGAGAGGCTTCTCTCTAGTTTTCAAAGAACTTGGAGCTGCAGCCCTTGTAAAGTGTGGGCTGCGACACTGAGGAATCTTAGAGACAGGATCCAGGAAATCTGGTTGATAATTTGTTAGAACTTTGGAGAAACTTCAGAAATGATGAGCTGGGGCAAACGCTTGTCTGGATTCATCAAATCGACCAGATGAACTCAGGAACTGCTGTTTGATGCAGAATTCTCAAGTGTTTTCTTAAAGAGGTGATTTGTGTGTGCAGACCCCAGAAAGGGCCTGCAGAGTGGGCACCCCAAAATAAGTGGGGCTGGGAAGAACTAAGCCAGAGGAGCTGGACACCCACCCACTTTCTGTCAATAAACAGCTGTGTGGACACAAATCACTTAACTCATTTGTGCTGCAGGGTCTTTTTTCTGCAAAATCAGGTCATAGAGCTCGGTGTCCTTTAGCCACTGAGAGCCTCTTGGCCACAAATGGACTGAATTTACCTCAATTCTCGCCATCAGCCAGTCTGATGAGGGGGAGGCTTTGTAGGACACAGCACAGCCTGTACCTACCGGCGCTTCTCACCTCGGGGTCCTTGACTACTTGAATCACTCTCGACAAATAATGACATAGAAGTGTCAGTTGAAGGCCTAATAGATCCAATGTGTCAGAATCGATCCGCGTGGACATCAGGGCATCAGTTGACAATGTCCCAGGTTGAGAGAGTAGATGAATACGTTTGAGAAAAAAAAACACCATAGAGAAAGTTGCAGTCATTTCTGCAGTGGTTGATTAGTTGGACCTAAAATGTATTGATAATGGATCCCAGTCCATTTCACAGCAAGTTTCTCTTGGAGTTCCTTAAACAGGCTGGTCGAACTTTTCATTTTTATTTCTTTTTAAGATTTTTTTTTCAGTGTCAGGGATCAAATGAGTTTTTATGCATGCAAAGCATCCACTTTACTATTGAGCCACATCTGGCCTCTGTCCCAGATTTTTCCCTAAACAATTTGATTGAAAGAATAAAGACATTCTGATTAAATGCATTGAAAAAGTAGGAAAAATATTCAGATGAATTATATGTTTGCATACTTGTTTGTGCAGGAAGCATATCAAAAAACAGGACTTGAAGTAAACTAATTCATATGCAGCATAATCAGTCTCCCAACCCTGAAATATATTAATATTGAAAGTCCATCCCTTCACTTGACATCTAAAATTGCTTGGTGGGGATAAGGTAGAACTTTAACATGGAGTAGATTGTGATCTGGGGAACTGGAATGGAGGATGGGAGGGAATGCAATCAGTTGGTACCTGGTTTGCCATTCGAAGCTTCTAAGATGTGAAAGAAGCAGAGTGCTTAGAGTAACACATGTCTGCATGTTTAACCCTAATTCACAGGCGAGGAAACAAAAGAATCTTTGCTAACAGGAAGTTTCTTTTAAATGGAGCCAATTTATTTTAGGTTGATTTCAAATCCAACTGAAACCAAACATTTGAAGAGTAAATTTCCACTTCAGCCATAGAAGGCTTTCAGGTGAGGGTGGGCAGAGAGAGCAGTCCCCTTTGCTAGCTTCTGCCATGGATGTACCATAGCCTAAATGTGGTTGCTCTTTTCTGAACCACAGAGCAAGACAGAGATGTAGGAGTGAAACAAAAGCTTTCTCAAATATGCAGAAGGGTGCTTTTTGGAAAGCTCTTCTGAAAGCTTCAGCAAACATATTTAGAAGTGAGTGAAATTATGAAGAAACACTTTTTCCCCCAAGATACCCACACCAGAGTGCTGCAGAAAGGAGGTACCTTCCGAAATTAAGATCCTCTTTCTTAAAAAAAAAAAGATCTTCTTTCTTACACATGCTCTTCAATCCAACCCTCCAGGAATTGCCCGAATGCTATTGGCAATGGCCCAGACTGCAAACAGGTACACTTCCTAGCTCTTGGAGGGCCTACTTCCTAACTGGGGTGGGGAAAGTCTCCACAAACAGGAAGAGAAACAAATAAGTAAATTGCATCAGAGTTGGAAGATGAAAAGGTTAAAGAGAAAGTGGGAGAAGAGAAGTGAGGAAGGTGAGAAGGGGGAGAAGTGGCAGTGGAGAGTGGCAACTTCAGCCAAGGATGGGAGGGGATTTTCTGAGACAGGAGCACCAGTGCGTGAAGGTAAGCCAGGAGCAGGCCTGAGATGGGAACTGACAGCTAGGGTCCCAGGCACATGCTACAGCCAAACTGCAACACGTTTTTCTCTTTTGAAGGAAAACTGGGCTACATGACCACTAGAGTCCCTACAATTTCTAATATTCCCTGAGTGGATGAGGTTCAGAATAATGAATGGGGTGGCAATGTGGAGGACATATTCAAACAAATGTCATACCAGGGATCAGAGATAGTTCAATAGGTAAGGTGATTGCCTTGCACTCAGCTTACCTGGGCTTGATCCCTGGAACCCAACATAATCCCCTATCTCTGTCAGGTGTGATTCCTGAGCACAGAACCAGAAGTAAGTCCTCAGCATTGCTGGGTGTAGACCCCAAACTCAAAAACTAAAAAAAAAAAAAATAAGAAGTGCCAGGGTTTCCCAATACATATAAATCAGATAAGCAATCTAAATAATTTAAAATACTGACCATACATTCAAATATTAATTAAGGGACAGAAAAGGTTGCTTGCACAGGCCTTACATGTGTGAGGTCTTGATTTTGATCTCCGGCACCACACGGCCCCCCAACTACCAGTGGGTGTAGCCTTGATGACCCCAGTTCCACTGGACCCAAGTGATGCACATTGAACTAGCTGATCCTATTGTCTGTGTCTGAGTACCACTAGGAGTGGTCCCCGGGGTCCCTGATTATTGCTTGGGCGATCCTTGAATCCCGGCCAAGTATTCAACCATAAAAAAGCATGGTTTTTATTTTGGGGGCCCTAGGATAGCACAACTTTTTTGGCATTTGCCTTGCACATGGACAACCTGGGTTCTATTCCTTGGTCCCTCTCGGAGAGCCTGGCAAGCTACCAAGAATATCCCGTCCACACGGCAGAGCCTGGAAAGCTCCCCGTGGCATATTCGATATGCCAAAAACAGTAACAAGTCTAACAATGGAAACGTTACTGGTTCCCACTCGAGTAAATCGATGAACAACGGGACAACAGTGCTACAGTGCTATAGGTTAAGTCTTTGCTGAGGGGCCACCAGTGAGACACCTCGTATTAGTCAAGTAAAATCAGTCTTGAGTGCAGTGGTGTGTTACTTGGTACCTTGTTTGGTAAAGTTAAACAGAACCATACAGTGAGGTGAGGGTGGGAGGGGTGGAGCGAAGCAGCTTGGTGTCACTGAGCTACAAAGCCTTGAACAAGGAGTCAGAGGAGAATGAGAAAGATCTCTGAGAGTCTTTGATGAAGATTATCCCTTCTCTCTCATTGGCTGGGAAAGCGAAAGGGGAGAAAGAAGCAAAGTCTATTCTGTGGCTTGACCCCAGAAGATCCGTTCACCACAACTGCCCTTTCTTGGGCCCTTTCATGCTGTCTTCAAGGCCAGATACTTCCCTGCCCTCTCCTTTTACTATACATGTTGATGTGTAATTGAGAAGCTCGGACTCTAGTTTAGGGGTGAAACTATTGGCCACCTCTCTTTTTCACTTTGTGGTTATCCTGCACTAACGTCATGAGATTTGGCCCCGGGCTTGCATTAGCTGAAACAATGCCCAAGATAGAGAACCAACCGCCATCCTTGTTGCTGTCTAACTCAGCCTGTTGCCCTGTTGCAGGCGCCTTCATCTGCAAGATGGTGCCCTTTGTCCAGTGCACGGCCGTCGTGACAGAGATCCTCACGCTGACCTGCATCGCTGTAGAAAGGCATCAGGGGCTGGTGCACCCGTTCAAGATGAAGTGGCAGTACACCCAGCGCAGGGCCTTCAGCATGCTTGGTGAGGAAATGCCATTCTGCCCTCTAGAACACAGAGAATTGCTTCCAAGATAACCATATTTGCATATGACACAAACAGCTTTAGTAAGCAGGTATTGAGGTATCATTTGAGGGGTTCAGGCCTCTCCAAGTGTCTTCGCCCTCTCTCTAGCCCCTCCTTAGGCCTTGCCCTGCCTTGGAAAACTCTCATTTCCTATGTTTTTATTTTTTTCTGTTGAAGTATTGACTTACTTTCCACTGACCTAAGATAGTCAATCTATGACTTCCTAGCAGGGTCAGAGTTCATTGGTCAACTCTCATCCTGAGATTAGAAGTCTCCAAACAAGCTGAGATGTTTTGGGAAGCCAGGCAGATTCTGAGAGGAAGCAGGAGAAATGGATTGGGAAAAGTGGAGATGAGACCCGAGGTTGCTCTGGTTTTGAGGTCCCTGCTGCAGAAGGTCCAGGATTGCAGGAGAAAGTTGAGTTCTGGGTGCCGAGTACCAGATGTTTAGCAAAGCCCCATCTGTCTTCTCAGAACTTCACTTCAAGCTCTCTGAGTCCCCAGCTTGCTCACTGCAGCTGAGCCTCGTCAGCAGGTCCCCAGTAGGAAGGGAGGATTTCTCTACTTGAGCCATTTTAAAAGCTGAATATGCATCTCAGTGGTTTGAAGGTATTAGAGCTAAATAGTCAGAGGAATAGGAAGCAATTAATGTGATCATCCAAGAGAGCAATTTTCACTAATATCCCCTTTAAGGGAAATGAAGAAACCTTGATTTCTGATTTAAACATAGGGCCTGTAGGGATAGTAAAATTTTCTAATGACCCCTGAAGGCTCGGCAATGACCAACTCCTTTGAAATGGTCTGAGATGAATAGATAAATTCATAGGGATATTTTTTTTTCATTCATTTCCATGAGTATCAACTTTATGTCACATCCTCCCTTCCTGCAAAGAATTCAAAGATCTCTTGGTTTTTAATAATTGACATCCTTCCAACATCAGAACCTTGGAGCATGGAGTATTTGAGTGTGTGTGTGTGTGTGTGTGTGTGTGTGTGTGTGTGTGTGTGTGTGTGTGTGTTGGGTGATGCAGGGAGGAGGGAGGCATTAGGAAAGGGGACGGAAAAGTATAAAGAGCTAAAAGCCAAGTTGGGAACAGGCAGTGTTTTCAGTTTCAACTTTCAAAAAATGCCAGAGGCAAGGAGATTTTCAGTCAGGTGGATTTATCTCTTGGGCCCTTTTCCAGCTGTGTTTGTCTCTGCCCTGTACCTCCCTCTGGCTGAGACTGCCTTGCCTCCAGGCCTCAGCCAACTGAAACTTGCCTATTTCCTGTCCAGAGAGATCTCAGATTAGCAATATCCAGTTGGATCCCCATGCCCTCCCCCTACTCAGAACACGCAATGAATCCCAAGAACTGGCAGTGACCTCAGCCAGTTAGACCCCATTTCTTCAGAATTTCTACTAAAGGTGGCAAAATGATTGAACATAAGAAAACATAATATTAGGATTAGAGTAGATGAAGTAGATAAAATAGATGAAGAGGGATGAACCACTGAATCATAATGACTTTCTGCAGACAAAATTGATTCATAAGCTGCTCTATAATAAACCTCAATTAGGACTTAAGTGAGGCCAAGTCCCTTGAAATTCAAGACAATACATTGTTTTCCTAATGGTTCAGCACAAATAGCCAGAATTAGCAGAGGCTGAAATTCTGAGATATTCTCAAAATCTATGCTGGTACTCTCAGTTCTGACCTATTCGGTTAAGATGCTCTTTCGTTCCTGGCTCAGGACACAACTTGAATTAAAGCAATTCTCTTCCAACGTCATGGAGGAAAAGGACTTCAAAAAGAGCACCCTAGTTTCTAAGAAGTACTTGCTTTGTAAGGAACATCAGATGGGCCCTATCCTAATGTTTCACGTGATGTATTTTCAGTGTTAAAAATAAATTATAGAGGATGATCAAACATTTTTAAGTTACTAATCTAGTCTACAAACAAGCCCTTTTTGAGCTCAGAGAGTTTTCCTTGAAATCTTATTTAGGGACACAAAATAAATATCGGGTGGGAGAGGGAATACTCAGGAAGTGGAGATGAGATGAGGAAGGGCAAACCAGGCTAGAGGGCACTTAAAGACAAGCAATTAGTGGTCTCTTCTCTCTCAATGGCTGTGGCCTTCAAAGTTTCCCTGGGGCAATGTAGTTGTGGGTCAACTCCCCAAGGGTGAGTTCACCAATAGATAATGGGAACAGTCTGCTAAAGGGGGTGGCTTCCTGCTAACATTGAGTGACCCAATGCATTCTGAGTTGTAGGCACCGCAGTGCTTTCTGGGAAACAGACACCAAAGCCAGCTGGTGGAGACTTCAGTAAAAGACCCTATTGGGAAGGGCACAGTCTCTAATGTCAGAGGGGTACAGAGAAGCATAGGAAATTGGAGGGGACCTCATGGACCATGTTAATTGGATTTTTGGATCTTCCAGGAATGCGACCCTCATGAAAAGTTTTCAGCACTTATAATTCAGAATGATTGTTTGAGCAGCAGTGGCAAGGGGTGTGGTGAGGGAAGGGAGGAGGCTTGAGCAGGCCAGCAAGCTGTTTCAATGCAGGGGTGAGGGGAGCGTGGCTCTTTGGGGGAGGGGTTATGGTGAGTACTTAAGCACAGGAGGGTATGGCTGTGTTCTGATGGTTCTCACGTTTTCACAGGTGTGGTCTGGCTGGTGGCAGTCATCGTGGGCTCGCCCATGTGGCACGTGCAGCGCCTGGAGGTAGATCAGCTGAGCTGATGTCCCCTCTCTCTTAAAGAGACTCATTTCCTTCTTGCAAGAGTGTTCGTAGGGTATCCGTTTTTTGTTTTTTGTTTTTTCTGGAGCTTTCTCAGGTGGAATGCAATAATCCACGTGGAGGGCTGTTTCTGTTTTATCTAGCTCTGCCTTGATCTTAGATGGTTAAGACTTCACCATTTAGGGTGACTGCCTTGCACATGGCCTTCTAGGTTTCACCACTTAGGGGGAAATTAATGGGGATTTCTTTCGACATTTTCCTGTGGGTGGCACATGACTTTTCCTCCTGTGTCTTGTTCCAGTTTGAGTCCAGTGGAAAAACAGATCAAATGGTTGAGGTTGAGTTTGATCCCTGGTCCTCCGTGTACCTTCTCTTCCCCACAGAGCCTTGGCCAATGTGGCCCAGTTGGTGGAGAATCATCAAGAGTCGAATACCATTTGGGAGGATGACTGCCCCCATCCCCGCCCCACCCCACTGTGTATATCAAGAGTCTGGTAGTCACGCTATGTTCTTCTTTTAAGTCATACCCAAAAAACCTGCTATAAAACTGTCACTAATTGTCTACTTATTAGTAATCCCTCATAAATCCTTTACAAATCCTTTTTTGGGAGCATGCCTTGCAAGATAGGCCCTCCTGGTGATTCTTGGCTGGCTGGAGATGGTGCTGCTTAGGCTGTACCATGCTGTGGGTGACACAGGTCACACTGGTGATACTGGGGGACATCCCTGTACCCAGCAAAGTGTGAGGATCAAACCAGATCAGTCCCATGCAAGTCAGGTACCTTACTCTTGTGCTATTTACCTCTCCTTCCACAAGTCCTTTCATTCCTGTGCCCTATTCATCATCCAATTGCATCTCCCTTTGGAACCTTGGGGAGAAAACACCCTATCCAAAAATCTCTTGACCCAACCTTGGCCTTGTCATGAAGGGAGCCCCATGTATCCCTCAGGGAGCCTGACTATCCATTGGGACATATGTCAACACATCCTACATAGGCAGTTTTGGTCAGATGGTTCTATTCAAAGATACAAAAGGGGGTGCTTACTCACATACCCAGTAAGTGTCTTTTTAAAACTAGAGATACTTTTGTGCTTTTTTAAAATTAATAATGTGAAACTACTGGGCAGCCTCTGTCCATTGGGCAGGATATCAGATGAACTCTTAGACAAGGCCCATTTCAAAAGTGACTTCCATCTTTATGGAACTGGCACATTGAACTGAATTCCATGGGTTAGGGACAAAGGAATCCTGTTCTAATTCTGTGCTGGCCTTTGCTGCCTATACAAATGTGATGGGGAAAAAAGCCTGGGGATGTGACTCAGTGGTCTACCTCTTCCTTGTAGGCAGCAGACCTTGAGTTTGATCCCAGTATCTGCTTCCTACATGCCAAGTACAGTCCAGCAATACAGCTACTTGAGGACCCAGATGCTACTACAAAGTGTGTCATCTTTGACATGTTGAAACCAAGCGTGTGTGAACAACAAAACAAAAGGGTACCTCCTCCATCCCACACACAGCACATGTCACAACTAAGTGTGAAGCTAGCTTAAGCAAGTCTTCCAGTACCCCATCCAGGCCTGTGTGAACCCCAGTGGCCTCAGCAACAATGGAGGGAAGGGAAGGGGAATCTGATTTTTACATTTCAAAGTGGGATCTAAACTGTCACTCTTGTTGAAACGGGTGGGGAAAGGGACTCTGTCAGTTATTCTAACTGAATGATGTCCCCTCTGTCACATTCAGTCACAAGAATAATGTCAGAGCTGATCTTGATATGTCCTGGCCACCTGTCCAATGATAGCACCACCTCTGTCCAAAACCTCAGTCACCTCAAAACATGTCCATGGGGCCAGAGGGATGGTAGAGCAGGTAGGGTGACTGCCTTGCACATGGCCTTCTAGGTACCATCCCTGAAGGCCAGCCAGGAGTGATCCTTGAGCACAGAGCCAGGAGTGATTCCTGAGAACTGAGAGTTGACTTAACAACCAGGACTTCTTTCCTCCATCTTGTCATTTTCTGGCCTAGAATCCTACCCTGTGGTATAGGGGCAAGACTCCGTATCTGCTGCCTTTTATTTCTCCTTCTCACTCCCTCTTCAGCTGGCTCCTTGGAGCTGGTGGGAACAGGAACCTTCTGGAATCAGCACCATCAACGCAGCACAGCTGCTCTTGACTGATGGTTGCCTTTATGGACTTTTCAAAGGTTGTAGCATCAAAGCTTCCAGTTGTACTAGCCTCACCAGTCAGCTATTCACGAAACCCTTCCACCCCATGCACCCTGCACCAACACCCCCGCCATAGTTGTCAGTTGCTTTCACCAAGGCCCTCCTTCCTTTAAGCAGCATGCCCATCCTGGTAGGAACCATCTGTGACCATCCGAAGCCTATTTCCCCTCATGGAGGCTCATGGAAGCTCATTTTTTGCCTACAGAACCCAGGGAGTTCTGTCCAGTTTTTTTTTTAACATAACATTACTTGGTCTTATCATAGACCCTAAATACATTTTGAGTATAAACCATGTTTGGTTGGTAGAAAAGGCATATAATCTAATTGGCAAAACTGTCAGTCAGGTCGACCAAATTAGATTTCCTTTCTGTCAGGAGAATGATATATAATTTTTGTGTTAAATAAGTGGGTGAACAGGCATTCCTGACAGCTGCTTGTCACTCCTGAGCCCTGGTTGAGCAGGTGTGAGATGACACAGAGTCTGGAGTACTCACCTAGAGGATGCAGAGCCCCACTCCCTTCCCTGATCCTCCCCAGTGCTCCCTTTTCTGTTCCCTCAGCAGATTCTTTCTCAGGAATGATTCTGTTTTGACAGTTTTCAGAGAACGACAGCAAAGGGCGATTAGATTCAATTTATCATCATTCCTCCCCCTTCACTATATAAAAAATGTGAATGTACCACATACCCATGCATAAAATACCTCTTTTTTAATAATGCCTAGCTTTGCCCTAAATGAAAATATATTTAGTCCATGGAAAATCACAGAGTCCTATGATGAAAGTAAGTAAGGAGCCTGAGTTCAGAGGGTATACTGACCTCAGTGACCTGGGAGGTGTGTGGGTGTTATGACTTCCTCCTGGCTATGTGCTTAGAGCTCACTCCTGGCAATGCTCAGGGGATAATAAGTAGTGCTGGGATTGAACAAAAATAAGTCCCATGCAAGGTAAACCCTTGTACTGCCTCTCTGGCTCTTGATCTCATTCATCTGAACCATCTTGTCTTGGTACGTCCCTGAGATTTTGGTTGGGTAGGAGGGAGAATCTGGACCAATGGGAAGAAGGGGATGATGGGAGAGGAATGGAGACCCAAGCTGACATTTCCTCCTCAGACATTCTATGGAATTTAGGGCAACCTGTATTTAGAAATGGACAAGTCTCACTGATGCCATCCAACTCCCTGTGCATGCCCTTGGGATGTCTCTGATTGCTCAGGGCAACATGAGCCCATCTGGACATGCCAATCTGGCATTGGGCTTTAGGATTTGGCCACATGTGGTTGCCCTGGTGATTATCCTTGTGGCCTCTGCCTATGTGGAATCAGAACAAATGGTCCTTTGATCCCCTGTTCACTCAGACTTGACTTTTCTCCCCTTAAAAGAGCATTTTGATTCCCTTCTATTGACCTCCAAGATTGGTGAGACAATTTTCTGGAAATGGAACAAGATCAATGTCTAAGACCTAAGGATTATCTGGAAAGCTCCAGTTGTCTTGATGCAGTCTCTAACTTTCATTCCTATTATCCAGAGAAATGACTGGGATATGCTTTAAGTGTTTCATATGCTCCATATTAGCACCGATGAATATTATTGTTATTGATGACATATTTGAAGTCATGAGCCTATTGAGGATCATGTTAAGATGTAGACTTGTCTTTCTGTAGAATACACATGACAAAGTCTTATAAATGAGTCTGTGTGGTTATAGATAAACATTCATTCAATTAATAATTTCACATTCATGTCAGAATCTGAAAGCAGTCAATTGTTTTTTTAGGGTATCTTTATGAATAGCCCAAACATTATAATACAAAACAACAGTAACAAAATTGGGATTTTCAGTATTATGAGTTGGAATAAGTCTGATGCCTTGGAAAAATGTTTTAACAGCAGAAGCAAAATAATATGACATTAAACTAACTGGCAGTAGAAAGTATTTTTCTCACACATATTTTGTCATTGTATTACTCTACCCAATTATGTCTATGGTGTAAGTAGGTAAGAAGATTAAAAATAATGAATCAGCTATAGTCCTCAATTTCATTTAAAATGGAAAAGAAAGCTGGAGAGATAATACAGAGGGCAAAGAACTTGCCTTGTGAGGCAGCTACCTAGTTCAATCCCCAACACCATACATGATCCTTTAGCCCTGCCAGGAGTGATTCCTGAACAAAGAGCCAGAAGTAAGCCCAGAGTACTGGATATACCCTTGCAAAACAGAAAAGAAAGTATAAAACTTTTAAGAATTTAGGCTGTGAAGTAAACAAATCTCAATTTACACAAACGAACAGTTAAAATCACACTAGGAATATGATCCACCCAAGGGAAATAATGTAAGGAGCTAAAAAGTGTATTACACTAGAAATTCTCTGCTTTCCTTGGGTGCTGATTTCTGGTTCTTCTAACTCGTTGTTCTTATTTTAAAGATTAAGTATGACTTCTTATATGAGAAAGAACATGTCTGCTGCTTGGAGGAGTGGGCCAGCCCCACGCACCAGAAAATCTACACGACCTTCATCCTTGTCATCCTCTTCCTCCTGCCTCTGATGCTGATGCTTATTCTGTACAGTAAAATTGGTTATGAACTGTGGATTAAGAAAAGAGTGGGTGATGGCTCGGTGCTTCGAACAATTCATGGGAAGGAGATGTCAAAAATCGCCAGGTTTGTTGCAGGAAATATTCACTTGTATTTTAAGATTATATTTTTCCCCATGGCAGCGCTGGAAGGGAAAGTAATAAGGGATCTCAGAATCTCTGCACAGTTTAGTCAAAGTAGAGCGTGAAATTCCATTTTCAAGTAGAGGCTAACTTTAAAATGTCGAGGTTTTCTGGATGACAGGGAGTAGGAACAAGACCACCGGCTTCGAAATCAAAGGGGGAAGCCACTGCTATGGAGAGGAATATTGGCCTAAAGAAAATGGCAATTGATCTTCATTATGAAGTCCATCTGTCAGGGCTCTGCTCCTCATCAGCTACATGGCTTGGAGATATCCCCCCAGCATGGTAATGCGCTGACTCCCTCCCACCCAAGACCTGCATGGCCCCATAATGATCCTCAAAACCAGAGCATCCATTAACTTTATTACTATCAGTGTGGGCTGGAGCAATAGCACACCAGGTAGGGCGTTTGCCTTGCACGCGGCCAACCCGAGTTTGATTCCTCTGCCGCTCTCAGAGAGACTGGCAAATTACCAAGAGTATCTCACCCGCACGGCAGAGCCTGGCAAGCTCCCTGTGGTATATTCGATATGCCAAAAACAGTAACAAGTCTCACAATGGAGATGTTACTGGTGCCCACTCGAGCAAATCGATGAGCAAATCTATGAACAACGGGATGACAGTGCTATGGTGCTACTTATACTTGAGGGCTTGTTAGCTGAGTTGTGTACAGCTGTTAACAGAATGTTTGAACACACAATTTACTGCTCCATTGCTTGTAGTCTGTGTAATTTACTCTGCATCGCTCTTAAAAAAAAACTAAGGGAAAAGACACGATCAACCCCTTAACCTTTGATCACAGCAGTGAAGTTAAGGAGCAGTTGGGGAAGCTGGAATAAGAAAGAGGCAGATCAGAACTGACTGGTGACAAATAAGCACACGTAGGAGGTCTTGGGTGCCTTGGTAGTGGTGCCCATGCAGAATCTTTGTACATAAAACCACGAATGTTAAGACTGTTGTACATAATGTTATGAAAAGTAAAATGAAACAAGAATTTAAAAGTGATTTCAAACAAAAGCAACAAAACCCACACAGGAAGTTTGGCTGTGGAGATGGAATCATTTCTTTAAGTGGATCGCGCCCTCTAGTGCCCAGTTTGTATAAATGCTCCTGTCCTCCCAACATCCAGGGTCCTAAATGAGACTTCCTGCTGATTTCGCTCTCCACCTTTCCTGGAGGAAAAGGCTATTATGCTGACATTAAAAAAATGACAAATGTGACCTTTAATAAACTTAAATTGCCCTGAAAATGGGTAAATCTTTTTAGGTGTTGCCCTCCTTTCTGGGGATCCTAACAAAAATTGGGTGGAATTTTGATTACTCCTATTATTTGGATACATAATAAAATTTCAATTATGCCCTAAGGGTTTCCCATATTTCATAACAATTGATGCAATTCTCTCACAGGCGTGATCACTATTCAGTAGACGAAGAGTTAGGCACTGACATAGGCGGTTCCCAAACTCACCCTCGGGAGTTTTAAATCCTATATTAGCTATCGCACCAGGCAAAATCCTTAATTCTCTCTGTGCTTCAGTATGTGCATCTGTCTATTGGCTTCTGGGAAGATTTAGTGACATAATTCATGCCAGTCAAATAGCAGACTTCCATTAGCCTCACTCCTGAGTACATGAGGAGATAATGCATGTTTAGGAGATGAGAAATACAGGAGTGAAGAGTCTGGCAATGGGAAAAGATGAGTAACGCCCCTCGATAAACCTATCCTGAGCTTCATTTATAATTGAAAACTGATGGTTGAGAGAGGTCTGGGTTCAAATGGCCTTTAATAACTTTGCATTCAGTTGCCATTGTGACTAATGAATACTTTTGGTCCAGGAAGAAGAAGCGGGCTGTCATTATGATGGTGACCGTGGTGGCTCTCTTTGCTGTGTGCTGGGCACCTTTTCACGCCGTCCACATGATGGTTGAATACAGTGAGTGCTGGTGGCAGTTCGAGCTCATTTCCTGCTGGGTAGATGAGAAATCACTGAAACATATTGCCATCCACAGGGGTAACCAAACATCAGGCATTTAACATCATGCTTTACCACATGATCAACACTCCCTGGTTGGGTTTTTTTTTTTCAGTCCCAAAATTGGTTTATGATCTTTTCTCTTGTCATCTTCTCATGGTGCAATTCGGTATGTCATGCTACTTAAAAGGTCAATAGAGAAATGACCAAAGATAGTGGCACAGAATCTTTGAATACAGAGATTAAATTTTCTAACATAGCACGTCACAGCACTGTAGTGAATTTTCTCAGGTGTAATAAACAAATCAATAACGACTAATGTGTTCACTTTATTACTTCAAACTGGAAAATGTTTGCTGAACTAACACAGAGAAGTGATTTGCGTCAGTTTTGACATATATTCATGAGGATTCTGTGCCGCCTAATCTTGCACTAAAGGCAGTATAGAAGTACATGATATTTTATGTAATAGTGGCTCCAGTTTTTCCTTCAAAAAAGTTTTACATAATTGATGTACACTAAAATTTGGGATAAAATCTGTGATGATTATGTGAAATCTTCTTTTTTTTCAAGACCATTATGTGGTAGTTGGGTAATTAGACATGAAATGTCTATAACTGTAGGAATTATACAAGATAAGAAATTCTTCTGCAATTCTAGTTTCAGGCCACACTATCTCCTCCTCCTCCTCCTCCTCCTCTTTCTCCTCCTCCTCTTCCTCCTCCTCCTCTTCCTCCTCTTCCTCCTCCTTCTCTTCCTCCTCTACCTCCTCCTGTTCTCCCCCCTCCTCCTCCTCCTCCTCCTTCTTTCTTCCTCTTCCTCTTTTTCTTCTTCTTTCTCCTTCCTCTTCCTCTTCCTCTTCTTCCTCCTCCTCCTCCTCCTCCTCCTCCTCCTTCTCCTCCTCTTCCTCTCTGTCACACCCAGAAATGCTTAGGGCTTACTCCTGACTCTGCACTCAGGAATTACTGTGATGGTGTTCTGGGGACTATGTGGGATGCCAGGGATTGAATTGGGTCAGCCTTCTGCAAGGCAAAAGCCCTCCCTGTGGTACTATCACTCAGGTACTACACCTTATCTTCTTGCTGTGCCATTTAAACTTTGGGAGGTGAAACAGGCTCTAAGAGCTTCCTATTTAGAGTTGTGATTTGAACCCATTGAGTGTCATAACACCGAGAGCTGCCTTCAAACCTTCATGTGCTTTCTGAGGATCTGAGACTTGAATGGCTCTCCGAAATTTGAGTTTCTGTTCCACAAATGAACATGTGAAAGGTAACTGCTATGTCTATCTTACATGAAGTTTGGATCTAAATTGAAATGTACTGAGTACCCCAATACATTTTGGACACTAGGCAGTAACTTTGAGTCTAAATCAGATATTTCCAAGCATATTGGTCTACTCCCTTCTTCTCAGAAAAAAGTAGCAATCCCTTGAAAATCAACCTTATTTTACAAAACAAACAAAAAGTGCCCCAACCCCTGCCAATTACACCTGAAGCTACTGCCGCTTCTTTTGCATTATTTTAGTAGCTCTCCTAGATTTCTAGTTGGTCTAAGAACAAAGATTTCTATTCCAAATTAACCTACCCACCCACCCTTCCTTCCTTCCTTCCTTCCTTCCTTCCTTCCTTCCTTCCTTCCTTCCTTCCTTCCTCCCTCCCTCCCTCTCTCCCTCCCTCCTTCCCTCTCTCCCTCTCTCTTCCTCCCTCCCCCCCTCCCTCCCTCCCCCTCTCTTTCTTTCTCTCTTTCTTTCTTTCTTTCTTTCTTTCTTTCTTTCTTTCTTTCTTTCTTTCTTTCTTTCTTTCATCCTTCTCTTCCTCCCTCCCTCTCTCCCGCTCGCTCGCTTGCTTTCTTTCTTTCTTTCTTTCTTTCTTTCTTTCTTTCTTTCTTTCTGTCTTTCTTTCTTTCTTTCTTTCTTTCTTTCTTTCTTTCCTTCCTTCCTTCCTTCTTCCCTCCCTCCCTCTCTCCCTCCCTCCCTCCCCCTTTCTTTCTTTCTTTCTTTCTTCCTTCCTTCCTTCCTTCCTTCCTTCCTTCCTTCCTTCCTTTCCTTCCTTCTTTCTTTCTTCTCAGGGTTCACTTCTGGATGGCCTCAGGGAGGACATAGGGATGCTGGGGATCAAACCTGGGTCAGCCAGGATGTGCAAAGCAATGGCCCTACCTGCTGTATTACCGCTCTGGCCCAGATTATCTTTCTTTAGACACCAGTGATTCTCCCCAAAAACAATCTTGAAAATGTTCCATACCTTTAGTTTATTGTCTGCTTGTGAGTGAGTGGTAAAGGTCCACAAGAGACCAAAATTTTATTTTATATATGTATTTTATTTTATTGATTTTGAGGCCACACGTGGATGTGCTCAGGGCTTTTTTTTCTGGCTCTGCACTCAGGGACCACTCCTGATGGAACTCAGGTTGCTGATTATTTTACCCAGGTGAATCACATGCCAGGCAAGCAATCTACCTGCTGTACTATCTTCTCTGGCCTCAACAACTATGGAATCTAAAGTATTACTTTTCATTTTAGGTAATTTTGAAGAGGAATATGACGATGTCACCATCAAGATGATTTTTGCTATAGTGCAAATCATCGGATTTTCCAATTCCATCTGTAATCCTATTGTTTATGCATTTATGAATGAAAATTTCAAGAAGAATTTTTTATCTGCCGTTTGTTACTGCTTGATGAAAGAAACCTTCTCTCCAGTTCGTAGGCGTGGGAATTCAGGAATGACTCTGATGCAAAAGAGAGCAGCATTTTCCAAGCGAGAAAATCATGTAGAAGAGACCAAAGGAGAAGCGTTCAGTGATGGCACAATTGAAGTAAAGTTGTGTGAAAAATCAGCAGAGAAAAAACGTCTCAAGCGACATCTTACTCTGTTTAGTTCAGAACAGTCTGAGCATTCTGCTTTAGGCAGCAGTGTGCATTAGATATACCACTATTTTCATTATTCATGTCATTCATGTCTTAACTTGGAGAGAAAATTATTTTGTGCAAAGAACAAGTTTTTTTTAAAAAAAATTCTTAGCATGGTGAAAAGAAGGGAAATCTCAGACCATTTTCCCACCAAAATGATGACAATTGTATTCAAAAACACATTTTTTAAAAAAATGAAAGTGTTATCCTGACAGATCATAACAATGAATTTTTAAAAAAATCTTGTGCAGAAACAACTTAGATTGACTATAAGTTTCATCTGCTTGCAGTCAACATAATTTGGCTTTCTGTATATTGCCAACTGTTTCTTCTTGCACACATGTAACAGTGAATTCTATCGTGAAAGTTAGTGCCCTGTTGAAGATCAGTGATATAGTCTCTAGCAAATGAAGTTTGTCCAAAGAGTCATGAAGCTGAAAATGATGGAAATGGCAAGTGGGCAGGGTTTAGAGGCAGGGGCCTGGCTGGAGTTACTCTGTGGCGCTATCAGCTACCACAACTGTGGCGACCAGCAAGTCACTGATTCTCTGCTATACTCCCCCACTTCCTACGTCAATATGGCAGAACCTTCTCTCCTCCATGAAGTGGCTGCCAGAAATGGGTGGAACCTGACCAGCAGGACACTATTCAGTTCCCCAAAGTATCCTCCCTGTCTGAAACATGAGGTTAGTGCCTCAGCTCTCAGGGCCACCCTCTTTGGTTTCCATTTCCTCTCAGAAACTTGCCACGACTCTGTTCAGCTTTCTCAGTGGAGTAGCTGAGAGAGGGAGTCAATTGCAGGGCCTGTAATTTGATGGTAGCCATCAGGAAAAGTGGATTCCCCACCCACATTTCTTATCTGAATCCCCTTTATTCTCTCTTTTCAAAGAGTCCCTCTCTTTTCATTTTTCCATTCTTCCTCCCAAACATCATGGTCCAAAGACCCCCATCCCAGTGCCCTATCACTTCCTGTCAACAGTTGTGATCCCCCGAACCCAGCCACAGTCCTGTAGCACATGTGTTGGTTTTCCAACATTGATGCTTCCAGGCAGGTGACATAAAGGCCGAAAAACACAAATATTTAGGGTATTTTATTTGTAAAGCTTTAAGACTTGGGATCCAGAGAGAACTCACAGCATTGGGATCTCTTGAGACAAAATCACTTCTTTGTTTATATGTGCTAATATAAGCATGTACTAAAATACAAAGATGAAACACAGTGGTTCCTATTAGAGAAACAAACACTTACCTGCATGTCAGGAAAATGGACAAAGTCAAAATGATTTCGATTGTGTTGAAGTGAACTTATTGTGGATTATTTCTCTACTTTATCCTTCTGTCCTGAACACTCTGTAGCAAAACAGTGAAGATTATTTCATCATTAAATAACTGGAAATAATTCAGACTCATTGATTTTGATTATCCTTATTTAATCATCAAAGATTCATAGACTTTTCTTATATTAGAGGTACACATGCTTCAAATATTACTGAATAGAAAAACAGATCAGTGAACACTTTGACCATCAAAATGATAGTCTTTAAAAATTCATAAACATTGAGCTGCTTGATTGGAAAATATTAGATAAGAAATACTTTAAATATTTATCATAAAATATGAAGACAGCTTATAAAAGCTTTCCTTTTTCCTCTTTTGCTCCCCTTTTCTTAATGCTGCTACAAAATTAATAGTAGTTAGAGCCTATTTTTTTATCCATTCAACTCTAATTATGTTGCTCTATAATTAACATTTTAGAACAAAAATATGGTCTCATCCACTGGAGAAATTCCAGGTCAGGAAAACCAAGGGTCAGAAATATCTCTGAGAGCAACATGGGCCCTGACTCCCAACAATAGTACCAGAGCAGCTGCCAAAGAGGGTTCACCACAATCACAACAAGTGCTGGAGTGGGTGTGGGGATAAAGGAACCCTTATTCATTGCTGGTAGGAATGCCAACAGGCCCAGTCTTTTTTTTTTTTTTCGGTCATACCTGGCAATGCTCAGAGATTAAGTCCTGGCTCTACACTCAGGAATTACTCCTGGCAGTGCTCAGGGAACCATATAGGACACCAGGGATTCAACTCAGGTTGACCGTGTGCAAGGCAAATGCCCTACCCACTGTACTATCACTCTGGCCCTCAACTGGTCCAGTCTTTTTGGAAAACAATATGGATATTTCTCAAAAAGCTAGAAATTGAGCTCCAATTTGAGCCAGCAATACTACTTCTGGAAATATATCCTGGCAGTCCAAAAACACACAGCAGAAACACCATCTGCCCTTCTATGTTCATTGCAGCACTATTCACAACAGTCAGAATCTGAAAACAACCTGAGTGCCGAGAGTAGACAATAAATAAAGAAACACTCTGTACAGCTACACAGTGGAATACAACATAGTTCTTAGGGAAAATAGAGTCACGAGATTTGCCTATAGATGGATGGACATGGAGAGTATCATGCTGAGTGAAATGAGTCAGAAGGAGAGGAATAGAGATAGAATGACTGCATTCATTTGTGGTGTATAAAAATATAAAGTAGAAGACTAACATACATGACAAGGGAAAATGGGCTAGGAACACTGGCCAATGGTTGGAATCAACCACAAGTGTGTATGGAACAGAGAGTAGGTAATATAGAAAAGTGACCAGTGTGACAGTAATAGATAGGAATGATTACACTGGGGAAGAACTGAGTGTTAGGTAAAGGGATATTCCTGAAAAGCTTTCAGTATCTGTACTGAAAAATCACAATGCCCAAAAGAAGAGAGGGAGGGAGGGATACAGAGCAAGAGCGAGAGAGAGCAAGAGCGAGCGAGCAAGCGAGAGAGAGCAAGGGGGCAGCATCTGGCTGGGGGCTGGGGCGGGGGATGATGGAAGGGATACTGGAGACTCTGGTCCTGGGAAATGTACACTGGTGGAGGTATGGATGTTGGAACACTGTATGACTGAAACTAATCACTAACAGCTTTGTAGGTCTAGCTCACATTGATTCAATAAAAAAATTCATGCAAAACAAAGAAAAGAGGGTTCACCTTGGATTTGCACAAGGAGAATGGGCTGTAGCTTTTCTTTCTCTTTACCACAATGTCCTCGAACCCCAGCCCCAACTCTGTGTTTCCCACCCACATCTCATTACCTTTGTTTCTCTCTGCCCTAGGCGGCCCTCCTTTCATCCTGCCTCAGTTTCCCTTCTCTGGTGCTTAGAGTGGAAACTGAAAAAGATACCTGGATCCCAAAGGCAGGGATGAGAAGAAGGGGTGCAGAACACTCACAGTCACTTGCTAGTATTGAGGTGAAATGTTTGCGAAACTAGTGAGAGATACGTGGCAGAGCCCTGCTCAGACACGGAGCCCTTTATTTTGTTCTGCATCACCATGCACCAAGAGGTCTGCATATTTGTTCCCTTGACTAAATAACTCCCTCCCTCTCCTCCATAGTTTGAGGTGGGGGGTATGGGATACATCTAGCAATGATCAAGGCTCCTGGCTCTGCCCTCAGGGATCATTCCTGGTGGACTCAGCTGACCATGTGGGATAACAGGGACTGAACCCAGGTCACTGTGTACAAGGGAAGCACTTTATCCACTGTACTATAGATCCAGACCCTGTTACCACTGATTTTCTTAAGGAGCATTTCCAGTGATGTTGGGAGAGCAGACCAGGGGGAGTCATCCCCAGAGATACTTTACTGCATTGAGGACAACCCAACAGTATTATCCTCATTCCTTGGTGGTGCTCACACACTAGCAGGTGTGTGGTGGTGGAGGTTTGGCTCTGAACCTCGCGTACAGGTAGGTGCTCTTTGCTTAAACTATCTCCCCAGCCCAATGATAAAGTTGGTTTTCATTTTTTTTCTTTTAAAACAATTTTGAAAAAAGCCTCATTTCAGGGATCTTATTACCTCATTCAAAGAAATGAGGGGCCACTTTGTTATGATGAAATATAACAAATATAATATATTTATATATGTATAACAAATACAATATAATTTTTTATCTCTAGTATCAACAGGGGCATTGACAACCAAAGCATTGTTAAAGGATCATCTTTACATATATTTAATACAATGTTTGAAATGAGGTGCACTTGTTGCTTAGCTATAGAAGCATTTACTGGAATATAAAAAGGAAAAACTAGAACACCTACAGAGAGAGGAAGGGGAAGAAGTATAACATTATAACCACGGGATCTGTATTTTTTAGAATGTTGATTGCTTGTGCATCAGGTGAATTTATGCCAACAAAATGTGAATAGGATCCATTAGAAAAATTCCTTCCCATACTGAATCTCACCTCTTAAACACCCCCTTTCACTCTGTAAAACTAAAATCCCTTTGTCACTTCATAATAGTTTTTATTTTTAGAGCTCACCAAAGTAACTTTAACATGATTTTCTGCTTTATTGCCCTAAAATGTAAGGTAAAGTCATTTAATTCTTTTATCTGTAAAAGCAGCAGGCTCTTTCAATAGGGCATGGAAAAGTTTCAGCTAGAAGGACAGTGGAAAGCAGCTACTTTTCAAATGTAGTGAATGTAGATTTTATAAGGCACATGATTCCTTACAAAATGTTCAAAACTTGACCCACCTGTTAAAAAGCATAGTCTAGCAATATGCTCGGTTCAGTGATCCCCGGAGTACATGTCAAGCCCTCACTAGGTGTCAAAGCTTGACACCTTCTTTCCATTTCAATATGAAGAATATCCTTTCAACACCAACTCAGAGGAATCTCAACAGGGTCAGCTGGTAAATAAGAGAACAGGGCGAAGAACATGGTAAAAATAGGGTGAGTTCACATTCACCCTTAAGGAAAGCAAATTACAGCCTTACTGTGAAAAGTTAAGCTTTAAAAAGTTGTTTTTCCTGGCTCAGCTTTCAGACACTTCTTCCTCCAGCTCACCCAAGTTTCATTTCTCCAGAACTAAGATTTAATAAAGCTATAAAAGGACAACACACACACACACACACACACACACACACACACACACACACACACGCACACACACCAGAAAAGAGATAACATGACTTAAATATGGCCCTATGTTGGCGACTAAAACCTCATGGGAAGGGGGGCGTTACAGTCCGTCCTTCACGCCCTACCGAGGTCACCAGTTGCCCCCCACGAG